TCAAACTAGAGATATTCTTGTATATTGTAGAAAGACCTTTCCAGCAGAAGTTTAATTTGTTTGGTAGTTTATTAAATAAGACAGGACCGTAATAGTTGTTAAAGTACTTGCTATGAGCCAATCGAGTAAAAGGCAATCTTATAACAGTTGTACCACGGGTGTTATGTTCGTGAATTTTAGTGTTTATCGTATAGAGATTAGCATTTTTCTTCACGTAAATAAGACACAATAAAATATAATGACTTGGCAACGTCAGAATGCGGAGGCCAATAAAATATGTTCTTACGTCATCGGCATATCCTATTCCCGACAATACTCTCACCAATCTCCTCCATAAAGAAAATACACCATATATAGGAGCAGAATGGCCCTATATAAGTAAACCGTAAGAACACTTAGAGACAACAAAGAGTGGTAAGCCAACATTAACACAGACCGAGGCCCAAGATCATTCAGTGATCTAATTAGAAATATATGGCCGGTAATCCTATTACATAATTTATCTACATGATCATTCCACGTTAGATGTGGATCAAAATGAAACCCTAGGTATTTTACTGAGGCCGGATTTTGGTAATCATGGTTTCTATAAGTAAAAATTATTTGCTGTATTTTGTGCTGGTTAAGACTGAACAAATTGCAGTTGCACCAATTATATATATCAGACATTCCATTATTTAACTTAGTATTTAAAAATAGAAAATTGCAGTCCTTATATATTGCAACCGTATCGTCAGCGAAGCCTTGTGGCACACTAGTAGGGTTGACTCTTACCTGAGACTTCGTTCCGTCGTACAGTACGTACTGCTTACGATTGTTTAGAAATGATGCAATTAAGTTGATGCTTGTATTAAAATTGTAATATTTTAACTTGCGTAGTAATATAGGTGGATTTACGCAATCAAAAGCTTTTTGTAAATCAAACAAGAGGGAACCAAAAAATGTTATCTTCAACGCCCTGTACTATTTCTGACTTAAGCTCACTGTCAGCTTCCAGAGTAGACTTGCCGCAACGAAAACCGAATTATCGCCCGTAAAACAATGAGTTTAACTCATAATAGTTTGTTATTTAAGTTAGACATTTAAACTCTATACAGCCTAACATACGTGTTACCATTGAGCTGGAAACTCATAATTCTTAGATATTCTTATCAATTGAAAATCAGATCTAACATTGGGTGATTGTGTTTACAGGAAACCTACGCACACAGATCGGTACTTTAATGCATGGTCATATCACCATCCGGCCCAAAAATCATCGGTTATCAACTCTTTTGTTTACAGAGTCGGAGTCACTGAATTAAAACTCTTTACCTTTGCTCTTCCTCTAATAATTTCCACATAAAAGATATTAAGCGTTCCATCACAAAATACACATCAGCACAACCTTCCAATAGCAATGAGGCCGAAAGCAATCCTACACTTGCCACTGTGGTCGTTTCTTACATTCAAAATATCACGGACCACATATCAAAAGTTCTAAAAAAATATAACGCCACAACCAGATCTACCACTTGTCCAAAAATCTCTCATCATCTTCGATCCGTCAAAGAGAAAATTCCATATGCGATGCCAGGAGTTTACACCATTTCATGCATCCAAAGAATACATCGGAGAGACAGGACGAAAAATATCAACTAGGCTCAAAGAACATGAAAGAGCCTTAAGACTAAGACAAATATACTCATCAGCAGTTGCCGAACATAATCACAAAACCAAACGCAAAATTTTATTCGACAAAACTGATACCAATATGGGGATCTGTCATCCGAGGCGGTGTTAATACCCCTCATTGAGCTCCGCCCCCCTCAAACAACAAAAAAGTAGCTACAGAGTAAAATGCGGGCCAGTTTCAGTCAAGCTCTGAAGAAGCCAACAGGATGAGAATTGAAGAAAAAGAATAAACGTATTGATTTTCAAACTCACCATGGACAATACGGATCAGGACCTAATTAGAAGGAATATTTATCGTCTTTATCAAAGCGAAGTTGTTCCTACCTTAGATAAACTGAAAAGAACCTAGAAGAAGATAAAACTCATATAAACATAAACCGTGCCACCTTCCATAGAGTTGTTTGTCCTATTATGCAACTGTAAGTAAGTAAGTCAGCCAAATTGAGCAGGATAGGCATACTGTTTTACGTCTTCCTTCATATCATTGCATGTTTAACCCCGTAGAGGATTTGTGGAACCAAGTAAAGTCAAAGGTCAGAGCAAAAACTGTAACTCTTACTTTAAGTTCCAGTGTTTTAAATTTGATAAAAAATGTAATTAATAACATACCAATTGAAAACTGGAAAAATTGAGGTACAGTACATTATAAAAATTGAGTACTCTTTTCTATACAAAACCACGTTATAATCAATCTCAATGAGAACTCTGATAGGGAAACAGAATTAGATTTTAACATGATAATCCTAGCTATGAATTTATTGTATATATATAATGTCATTGTTTTTTCTTAGTGTAATTTAATAAGATTATAATCACCCAGATAGACAATTTTTTTCATTATTACCAACAGCCGAATATGTTTTTTAAAAATCTCTATCATTTGCGGTTTCCGTCATTTAAAAAAAAAAAGGCAGTAAAATGTTCAAATCTCTGTTGTCTCTTTCTTCTGCTCTATCATCGACATTTTCAGCTAAATATTTGCAGTTATGTATTGGACTTTGGACTCGAATTTGGTAATAATACGTTTTTCTTCTTCTTCTGCGGTTGGCGCTGCTACTAGGCAATTTGCCAGCACTATTTCGAACTGCTCCAGAAAATCGAGAATGTTCTCCTGGGGGAGTTTACTTTTCAGACTTATGTTTCTATTTAAGAGGCATCCAAAGCTGCTAAGGAGATAGGGCCAGTTAGTAGGCAGGTTCAGAGCTCACAGAAAACACAGACAAACAGGCAAGACAGTCACATCTAAAAACAAAAAAGGTCAAACAAACTCCAGCATTATGGAACTTGGGACGGGCGTTCCTGGCCTAGGATGGACCATGGGACCAGGCTCGTCAGATCTGAGACAAAGCAACAAAATCAAATACATACAAATTAAAATTCCCTAGTATTGTTACTAGGGAGAGGCTGTCCGACCTCGACTCCTAACTTAAAGTTTTATCCTATTATAATCTAAAAAGCGTATGACCATTTGTATGATTTCCGCACTCGGGGTGCTTAACATATTTTCAACGCAAAGTGGTAAGTGAAGCCCGAAATTTTTAAAGTTTACGTATACATCCACACCTGGGACCTTTGTTATAGGGCACTCGAAAAATATATGATTAAGGTTCTCAACCCCCCCGCACTCGCAGAAAGGAAATTCCCTAACCCCTATCCGTTCCAGGTGTTCCCCCACCGCGCAGTGTCCAGTTCGCATTCTAATTATAGTAGTTATATGGCGTCTGTCTATGTAGGCCAGTTCAGAAAACCATGTTCTATTAGGAAAATTAAGTTGTATTAACTTTCTATATCTTTTACCTCTATCTTGTATTGGGTTTTTCCACCGTTCTCGAAAATCATTAGTAATCTCTGTAAGAATTGTATTCTTCACGTCATGAATGTCCAGTTTGATATTCAAGGGGATGTTTAAGTCTTTTCCTATTTTTGCATTTCCTTTATTGCTATCGTCTCTGCTGTGGCGATACACATTTCTTTGTGAAGTTTTGCCGCAAATTTATAATTAATTTTTGGTATATAAACACCAAATCCAACCCTCTCACCCTGCTTAGAGGCATCAGTAAAGACCAGACAATGTGTTTGGATATATTTCTCTATTTTCTCTCTAAAATGGGCTGCCGCATCTTCTCTATTTATGTTTAGCTTAAGTGGTTCGATCACGGCAATAGAGTTAAAAAAGTCTACGTTATAGCACGGGAAAGTCGCACTCGAGTAAATTCTGTTCCGGTAAGGCACATACTTATTAAATGCCTGGACCAGGTAATGGGCACCAGATATTCTATCTTCATTTCTATCTAAATCATCTCCGTAGATACCACCGTAATTTCGGAGATTCTCTATGAGGTCTGTAAATGGATGGTCCGCAATGGCTATGACTCCAGCCAGAAAGGACACTGCCAGTTTTCTCCTCCTTGTATCCAGGTCCAGTTCCGATGCTTCCGTCAGCAAGACCTCATACATCCCAGCGCTATTCTCAAACTGAATGAATCACGTTGTATTTGTTAAGTGCAGTCTTGTTATTGGAGTTCAAGAAGATGGAACCATAATCTAGGTGGGTCCTAATCAGAGTGTGAAGTAAGGTTATTAGGATTTGCGGGTCTGCACCCCATGAAACCCTACTTACGCATTTCATTATATTAATTGCTTTCTTTGCTTTATCACAGCTTTTGCGTATTCCGCTTCAAATGTTTTTTTTAGCACCGCTCCTAAATATTTTACCTGATTCTTAAAAGCAATTTCCTTATTATCTATTTTTATATGTACCGTTATATGTAATATTGGTCCAATTAGAGAAGCCTCAATATTCTTGCAGAATAAAGATCTATTTTCTAGAATTTTAAAGATAAGGTTGGGAAGTTGTACCGGCATATTTAGATCGTTGAGTTCATTATATAGATAATAGATATTAACTGTGTCATAGGCCGATTTTATATCTAGGAAAACTGCTGCTAACGATGAATTGCGGGCAAAAGCTAGATTGATATGTGTAGTAATCAACGCTAGGTTATGATTTATACTCACCCCTCTGTCTGGAAATGAGAGAAAGTAACTTTGCTCTCTAGTAAATGTTCCATTCGGTTTTTAATCATTCAATAACCTAAAGATTGGCTAACTAACATTTATTCAAACTCAAATCAATGTAAAATGTACAGTGGGCATTTACATATTTACAAATTTGAGGTTTTACTGGAATTTTTAATATTAAGATTTTTAAATAATTTTGAAAAATTATCTAGAGTTCAATTTTTGGGTAATTTCGGAAACACTCAGTATGCGTTGCGTCATTTCCATCGTTCAATATGGCCGCGGTGTAAATAAAACTACGTACATTTGACATGAAAAATTTTATTCATTGCATCACGACGAAGTTGTCTTTATCGATTACCCTGTAATTCCTTCTCGCGAAATCGCTATCGGCATAGTGAACGTACATTTTATGGATCACTGACGCTACGGGTTCGATTCCGGCGGTTTTCGCCAGATCTTCGCAGTACCCGCCCTGTCCTGTTCCGATAAAGTGGGCTTTCTTCAGGGGAAGCTTTTCGCTATCGCGTCTGGCTCGATCAACCTTTAAGTCTTCGTACATTTCTTCCTTGGATACCGTGAAGTGACCTTTGAGCAACGCGAGGAAGAATCTAATCTAGAAAACCATCGTTTCAATATTTACACTCCTTAAATAAGATCTAATTCGTTTAAACATAATTTCAGTGCAAATCCTAAAACTTTCATTGTCCGAGACCGTGTTTATGCCCCTAATTTAGCCCCGCCCCCCTCAAACAATATATAAGCTCGCTCCGCTCGTGTCAAATAAACTCGTGGGTCAAATGCCGTTTACCTCACTTGTTGCATAATATAATATTAACCGCGTCTTTGCAGCTTGTGGAAGTTTCTTTGAAAAATGTTACAGGATTGATCAAAATTAACAGTTTTCCAAGTATCTAATTGCGATAAAAAATAAAGTTTTTAATATCTTTTCTCTGGGTACCTGGAGTCCGAAAATTGGAAATGGACATATGGCGGAAATCAGGTTGGTAATGGCCATGGACGGATGTTCGATATTGATCAAATGCTTGTACAATGGTTTGACCCAATTGTCCTCGACCGTTATGCCGCACTGCTCGCTTAAGAATGGGAATATGTTTTTATAACCTAAAAAAGAAGAGGTTCCATCGAGGTATATGTTATTGCGACTGCCACTACGCCTTACCAGTGCAATATATTATATGATCAAAGCTTTCCTCGGTGTCGTCTTCGAAAATTGCTTTCGACTCCTCAAAGCACCTCACTCTGGGTTTAACGGCGACTTCTTGCGGGCTCCCCCCGAACGGTTTTCCGCTGAAGCTTAAGAATACCTAAAAGTGATACGCCAGAATATCTAAACCACCATGAATTTAGTACAAAACATGTTTTTTTCGAAACAATGTTGCATTTCACTGCCAAATAAAGACCATATTCGACACTGCATTGCATTACCTTTTATTTTACTCTTTTCTTATATATGAATGGATTCCTAGGAATAGCCCCACTATTGGGTATTCCCAGTAAAAGTGAAAGGTTCTATAATAATTCTATAATATTCCTTCTTATTACGTCCAGATCAGTATTGTCTTCAATTCTCCACTATCTTTTTGTAATGCGAATTGCGTCTGTCTGTCCAGTGTTTGCTAAAATGCCGAAAACTAATTTCCATGCGTCGGGAGTTCACTTGGGATTCTTTTTTAACAAATGTAAACAGATATGTTCAAGAAACATTAACCAAATTATGTTTGCCTAACAGTGTTCCAACAGAAATATTAATACTCCTTTTACTCCTTCCCCAGGGGCACAAAATTTAAAAATCGTTATAGTTCAGTACTTTTAATGGGCAATTTCACCAATTTCGAACGAGAACTGGATTTGTGTAAATTAGAAGCACACTCAATGAAGGAAACAGTTTTATGTGTGAAACTTACTTATCGATTATCAATCATCAATAATATCAATCATAAATGCAAGGAATAGTTTGTTATTTTGCGACTTGTATGTTGCGCAAGTTGCTATTATCTGAGCGTATCATAAATTGTATGATACATTTTTATATGATGGTAAATAGTAACTTTTATTACGATTTTCTTTGTTTCACTTATACAGGCCGTTTTCTAATTGAATTTCAATAATAAAGGGGGCGATTTTTGGGTCCATTTTAAAAAGAAAACTTCATACGAACACAATACAGTCGAAACTCTATAAAGCGAAATTGAAAATAACAATACGCATATGTGTTCTGTATTATTTAATTATTTTATGTACATATTTTAACATCTACTTAGGAACTTGGTGCTCGTCCTCACCCTTTCTTGCTTGTTGTAATATGGCTTCCTTTGACAAGTCTGCTGTTGTAGGCAAATCCTGATCTATCACCATCAAATCTTGCAACTCCTCACTTGTAAACGTAATTGTCGTTTGAAACTGCTGTATCCACTCGCTTAGTGTCTGATCATTTTCCTGTTCGCATTCTGTCTCGGTAATAAGTCCTGCATGACGATAGGGGTGTTGAATTGTTTCTGCTGTCACCTCTATCCAAGCTTTACTAATAAAGTTGACTGCATCTAGCATATTAATGGAAAATTTTTCTTCGGACTCGATCATTTCCATTAAAATGTTTTTTCTGTATCGACTCTTAAGACTTTTTATTACGCTCTGGACCATCGGCTGTAATACACTTGTTGTTTTGGCTGGAATAAATGCCAATTCAAAATTCAATATATGTGCAGTTAATATATAATTCTGCATCCCATTTCCGTATCTCCTGTTCAAAAATTTACGATGTCATCCATGCAGACTTGTTTGCCTTGTAAGTGATGGCAAATGCTTGATGTTCTTAAAACATCGTGGGTTAGTTGATTTTACAGTCACGACTAACTTTCTTTTTTCTCTCCCACTCATATTGGCAGCTACTAACACTGTTATACGTTCTTTAGAAAGGTTTCCACCCACACACTTTTCACTTTGAAATTTAAGAGTTTTATCTGGCTGGCGTCATTTTGCAAAAAATACCAGTTTCGTCAGCATTAAAAATGTCGTCTGCTAGTTTTGACCACGTCTTCTCAAGTCAAAGAAATTTGGCAAACATGTACTATGTATGAAGAGGCATTGGTGTACCACTTTTTTTTTTTTAAATATACCAGTGGCGGGCGGAATTTCACCTGTTTATTTTGGGACATACGTTCACGGGAAATTTTATTTTTAAAACGTAATTATTGACATTTAATTTGAATATACCCTGCGTTTATTCGATGGTATGGGTAAAAAATTTCTGAAAATCGGTTCAAATTATGGCTTAGTTTTAAATAACATTGAAGAATATTGTTAAAATATTTCAAGATCTGAAGAGCGTTAGTCTTGAAGAAAATGCCTCACAGTACAGGTTGCTGCTAAATTGCCCAAATGTCTATATGCTTAAATTAGTACCTTTTCAGCAACCGCGGCTACTAGTCTACTGATATCGATTCCAGACGGTCCGGCACCGATTACCAAGACCCTTTTATTCTTATAGGCGTCCGGTGTCCGATAGAGATGACTGTGGATGCTCTTAGTTTCGACGCGTTCCATACCAGGGATCGATGGTAGACTCGGTTCAAAATAATGACCGTTACAGACGAGTACGCCATCGAATAGGTTTTCGCTAACGTCTCCGGTTTTTACGTTTTTCACTCGAACCCTCCATTGGTCGTCGTCCGTCGGGTCTATCAACGTCACCTGAGTAAAAAACTACGAAAGTTTCGCTTAGTTTTGAAATTTTACTAAACATGATGGGGAAGTATTTATGTTTATTTTGAATGATTTTTAATATACCTTTATGTACGGCAGCAATTTAAAGTCGTTGGCGAATCTGCGCACGTATCGGAGTACTTCTTCTTGGGTAATGAACGAATGATCTGGTTCCGTGTAATAAAAGCCTTCGTATTCCATCAACTCTTTGGGTAGATTCGTGCTGAAACAAAACAAAGAGAAAATATATATATGTATTTTTGTGAATTATCTTATGTAAGGTAAGGTTTGGTAAGAGCATTTTTGGGGCAAGTGCAGTATTTTCAATTTTTATTCAAGTTTCGTAGCGACTAGTGCTGCCATCTATGAAGGCTGTCGCTAAATAATCCGCCCAACATAACCTAATTAGTACTGGCCATTTGTGTCTTCCGTTGTGTCAATTTTATTGCACATTTGAAATTTATACTCGAGTTGGGATTTTTTTTAAAATCTATGAATTAGTATCTTTAATTCGTAATTTTTTATGAGTACATATGTTAATTAAGTGGTTTGTCTAGTCTAAGAGGTATTTTCGCAGTTGCTAACATAAATTGTTGTTTTTGTTATGATGCACTTGCCCTGTCAATTTTCTTTAGTGCAGCACTGGCACAATGATTTTTTTTAGCATTCATCATGGTGCGAAATTATATCGGTAAAAGTAAACGAGGAGTTGGATATTATATTACTCGTGATTTATTTGAGAAATGATACTATGACAGCATACGACGCAAGCGCGGTATACGATATCATGGTAAAGGTGGAAGGGGCCAAAAGAGCAGTACATACGACCAAAAAACAGACCTTAGTTATGAACCAGAGAAGTCATTGGCTGATTGTATTCGCTGCTTGGAAAAATGGGGATTCGGTTTAACCAGGATAGAGTTGTTGCAGTTGGCAGGCGAATACGTTCAAATAAATCAGATTAAAAGTCAAATTAAAAACGTCAAACGTCGACACAATCTATCGATTAAAACACCGAACACTTTGACTTATTGGAAAAAACCATAAAGGAGTTTGGATTGGAAAACAGACTTTGTCAGAATTGGAACATGGATGAGAGCAGTTTTTGCTAAGACAAAAATTGTTGGGCAAAGACGACGAGTGGGTTCACAAAACACTCCAATTTTAATGTGCTGCAGTGCAGCATCTCTAATAAACATGTATGGTACCAATGGAACGGAATTTCCAAATACTACATACTCAACCATTCCCAATGGCTGGATGGAGACAAATGTTTTTAACAACTATTTTGCAAAAAGCTTCATAAGTCAGTTGCCTCCTGAACGTCCAGTATTAGTTATATATGATGGACACGCCACACATAACTATATTGAAAGTACCTCCACACACGAGTCATGTATTGCAGCCTCTACAATTGAGTGTATTTAAATCATTAAAAAGTCATTGGGACGCTAAGTTAGTGGAGTGGCAACGCAAAAACGTAGGCGTTAAAATTCCCAAGAGTATTTTTTCCAAGCTTATCGGCGAGATACGGACCGCTACAAGACCTGAAATATTAATAAATGGTTTCACCAAAGCCGGCATTTGTCCAGTAAATCAGAATGTAATCCGATTTACTGCATTAAAAAATGGAAAGCTTTACAAATACAGAGCGTCAGTGACCAACCATCAACATCCTCACAAAGTCTGGGCGACTCTAATGGCCCTATAATTCCAACGGCTCCACAAATTCCATCCAATAATTCGGTTTCTTGACCTCCACTATAAAAGAACAAGATGAACATATTTTAAATGAAAGTGAAAATCATATAAAAGCTCAAGGTAGTAGTAACATTTTGCGTCAAAATAAAGTCGGATTTGAAGAACTCTTGCTGAAATCGTTGAAACGAGATCAGGTTCCCTCAAAGAAACCCAGAAAACGAAGATGTTTCAGAATTCCGAGATAAAACAGATGTCAAAACTAAGGGCAAATCCATTCTTTCCAAACAGAAAAATACAAAGGGGCCGATAAAAGTGACTCGGAAGAAAGCAATCTTGAATCTTGGAAAAGCGACCAAAGTGAGAATAGAATAACAGAATTTGATGAAATATCAGAGCCTGAGGATCCTGAAATTGACCAAACCATTTCATCATTTATAGAAGAGAATTTTTTTACAACTAATAAAATCCAAAACGGAGACTTTTTATTAGTTAACTTTTTTGAAAAAAAAAAAGTTACAACTATGTGTGTCTAATAACAGAGGTTTCTGATGATGAAGCTGAAGTAACATGTTTACGTAAAATGCGAAAACCATGGGAATTCGGGCTCGAAGAAAAAGACAAATATTCAATTTTGTTGTCCGATATTATTCAAAAACTCGAACAACCAAACTGGTACCATACGGCTATAATCAAAAGTATATTTTCCCAAATGCTGTAGAAAGGGTAGAAAGAATTTTTCATTAACTAAAGGTATGGTCTGTTCATAGATATAAGAAAGTGACCAATTGCTTTTGAATGGGATAATCCAAGGGTGGTCATTAACATACAATGCAACAAGATTATTACCTAAAGTTTCGGAATTTAAATTGAGGTAAAATTGTGGTCCGTAATAGAAAATAAATTTATACCTACCTGTGTTTAATATTCTTTAGTTCGGTACACTACTTAGGTTAAGTTTATTAGTAATCACGCGAATTATGCTGAATATGTGCGAGTCTAGTGTATCTCAGGAGATGCTCCCGCCCAAATGTAGAAAACACTATTCATTGAGACTAAGGAAGTTATAGACGATGTTTATTTGACTCTCATTGCACGTGGTGCCAGCAAGCAAGCATCTTTAGAAGAAACGGCCACATTGACGAAAATTCCAACATCAACTGTATGCAAAATTGTGAATAATCCCATTTCAGATTTCAGAAGCGATGCTGACGACATTTTGTCGAGTGTAGGTGAAAGTGATCAAGATATAATACGGCGTAAAATTTACCAGTTATACGAGGTACAAAGCGTGCCTACATTAGATATCTTAATTAGGAGGCGTAAAGAAGATGAAGCCGGTGTTAAATGTGGCAGAACTACCTTATGGAAGTGTATTCAATACATGGGTTTTAGATTAAAAAAAATTGACAAAAGGCAACGCATATTTAGTTTCACTAAGATTATACCAAAAAGCAATTAATTGAGGTTCTACAAAGCTTGAACCTACAAAAGGAATACGTCTGTGATAAATATGCAAAAAATCTACGGCACACAATTTTAAGGCTTCCACCTTACCACTGTATATTTAATCCCATTGAACATGTTTGGCACCAACTGAAATCTGCCATTCGTCGTAACAATGTTTTCCCCGTGTTAACTTCAACCTCCTCAAACTTATAGAAACCGAAGTTTTTAACATCCCTCCACAAAGTTGGGTAAATTCTGTTAAACATATAGAAAAAGCAGAACAATCGTATATTCATATTGCAAATAATAATTAGAACAGGCGATGATAGCGATAGTAATGTTGATATATTATGTGAATAATTTTAAGTAATTTAAATAGGTAATAAACATAAATACATACATAAATAAATAAATATTGTTTAGTATCTTTCCTAACAAAACCCAAATAATTTAATTCTATGCAAAGTACGGACCTGTCCGGCCATATTTCATTCTTACAGCTTGCCCGGGTCTTTCCTTAATTCGTATCAGTTAGTCACTTTCTTATATTTATGAACAGACTTTACTCCAGTAGCTACAGTTCATTAAAAATTAATTAAGTTACTTACCCATGTTTTGTTACACTTTCATATGTTGATTTTCCCAAGATTTTCTTAAGGTGGTGCGTTTTCAAACAGTTTTCTGTTAATTTCTTGAGTTTCAATGTTTTCTAATAAAATTTAAAAAGTTTATAGCTCCTGTACTTTTTTTGGTCAGTTTTGTGTTAATTTTATTTGTTACGTTTATACTTCGGCACTTTTACGCTAAAATATTGAAGAAAACGCGCTTGCCCCGAAATCATGGGGCAACTGCGTACTTGGCACCAAAAAATTAAAAAATTTAGTATTTAGAAAATGCTTAACTTTTTCAAATTTTTATTGACATTGGTCAATAAACCATACTATAGCGGGTTTACTTTCATAAGCGGACAATCCCATGACAGTAATATCAAACACTTAATGAATTTACAAATTCACCTATTCATTTTTTGGTGCGCCTTATTTTATTGTAATAAATAATAAATAATAATAAATAAAATAAATAATAGATATGTTCGCAGTTACTTTCTTTTTACTTGTATTTACTTTTTACGTCTTAGCGCACAATGCGATAGGGTTTCTGTAGGAAACTGCAATCGCCACCATTTAAAGCACTGTCGTTAATAAATTGTTTGTTTATTATTATTAGATATTGTTTCAGGGTTACGATTAAAAGTTGATGCTCGGTTATCGCTTAATCCGCTTGATTCTTTGCCGCGTTTGATGTATAGTTTGGTTTAAATTATTTCGTTAAAGATCCTACTGCAATAAATCTTGTTTCTTAAATTTCATTGTTTACTTTTTGATGACAATCGTCATCAAATCCTAGGTATAGTCTGTCTCAATCTTCATCGTGCTGGACAAAAGTTTTGGTAATAGGACAAATTTTTGATATGTTATTAATTACATTTTTTTTATCAAATTTATAAGACTGGGACTTAAAGTAGGAGTAACATTTTCTGACCTTTATTTTACTTGGTTAAACATGCATTGATATGGTGGAAGACGTAAAACAGTATGCCTGTTCAATCACATTTTCGCATACGTACTGCTTTTTAATTGCATAGGAATTCGAGACGTCCAAAAGTTGAGCTCTTTTGTAACTGAATTCAAAATAATTATCACTTTCTAACAAATATTGCGCAGCAGGCGGCTGTGGTATTCATGACAATAACACTGTTATTGGAACTATTTTTTAAAAGATTGTTTTTAAACCAATTTTCAAAATTCGGCACAGCTTACATTTATATTGGTTTCATTTTTTCCTAGTTTCTTTTTCAGTTTATCTAAGGTAGGAACTACGAGGGCAGCGTCAAAATTTCCCGGCCTTAATATGAAAGAAACAAAGTAGAGTAAGAATTTTTTATTATTTTTCAATATAATCCCCCTTAACTTCAATACACTTATTACATCTCTTTATTAACAACTCAATCCCTTTAAAAAAATATTCTTTTGCTTTGTCTGCAAAATGAGCTAAAACAGCCTCTTTTAACTCAAC